GACGTAGCGAATGATCATCGTCGTTTTATTTTATAAAAAATAGTATCAATAGTACTAGTAGTGTGTGTACGTAAAATACGAAAATACACGAAAATACCAACAACAATGTACAGCGTGTACAGCGTTTCGATAGATAGACTCGAGTCGATCGAGCTGTATATTATTTTTTAAAAGTATACCTAACAAGTGTCATTTACATTGTGGACGCTCCAAATATCAAAATAGTTCGGGGGAAGGGAGGGGCAAGGGATTAACAATCGATATCAATCAAATCTAAATTGCGTTGGAACAAGTGGATGCACGATATATGTATATATATATATGTATATATAGGGTGTTCAAATATCGCGAACGATGCCTATGTACAATTCGAAACGAACGAGTTTGATTCGAGAGAACGAGTTTTTGTTTTTTAGACGATATAAATAATACAACGATATAAGACTCCTTCTTTTTTTTCTTTTTCTTTCTTTTGGGAACAACAGCAAATCTGTTTTTTCTTTGACTGTGCGCACACGAAACGACGGGTATCTTACGAGACGGGTTGAAACGAACGACGAGCAACGAACGTTTTCGTTCGCTCTCCGATTAAGAACAAATCTCCATGAGACGAGTGGTGGATCGCTTACAGACGTTTGTCCGAGGATATTTTCGTGAACAACATGTATAGATCGTTTTGAAGGGCGAGGAGAAAGAGAAAGAAAAATCGTAAAATGAAATATTGGATATTTTAGTCCATTGATACAAAAAAAAAAATATTTAATATATTTAATAATATATAATATAATAATATTATATAATATATAACATATAAATAATATTTAATAATATTTAATAATATTTAAAAGATTATCGTTAAATTTTCAACAATTTTTTAATCTCTAGTGTTGTTTGTTTGTTTCTCTTTCTCTTGTAATTCGATAAGTCTATATAGTTCGAGACGCCATCGATAGAGTGCGCTGTATACAAAGAAAAAAAAGAAGTATTAAATAAAACTGGATATTATTTTCTATACCTTCGAATTATCCTTCATTTAATTCGTTAACAATCGATCGTTATTATTATCCGTAATAAACAAATATCCACAGACAATTGTCTGCAATTGTAAACAAGCCTTAAGATATCCTCTCGGACGAGAGAGAGGGAGGCAACGAATAAGAACGAAGGTAACAGCGGTGTATATAGTAACAACATAGCAACGATATACATACTTACAATAATATTATAAGTTACATTATTTACATAGAGATAGCAGATAGACGTTTAGTTCCATGTATATACATATATATAATATATATAATATATATGTATACGCTATTTATATAAATATCATATCCTTATAATATAGATCGTTAACTTACAAGACGCTTACGTATACAGTCGCTTCTCGAGAGATTGCAATAATAATTTTTTTTTATTTCCACGACACGTGTGCCCTCCATTATTTCTTCTTTTTTTTCTCTGTGTGTGTGTGTGTGTGCTTTTTTTTTCATTTTTTACATTTATTTCTGTTTTTTTTTCTTCGTTTCATTTCTTCATCCTTATATAACGATTTCTTTTTTTTTTTTTTGTTTTTGTTTTTTTTTTATATATATATATACTTCTTACTTTCTAGAGAACGTCACGCGACTTCGTCGACATCGTTTTATATATAGCCTACGATATAGATATGAATAAATTTATTTCCACGCACGACCGCCTATTACAATTATATATACCTCGCATACGGCATTTCGTTACATCTATTATAGATCCTGTCTTCGCCACGTATAAAAACCTTACGAAAATAGTTGCTCTATCATAAAATCCCGCAGCACTTTTTTTTTTTTTTTTTTTTTACGTTACACCGTCTTACATATCAAGTATTACAAAGAGTCAAGTTATTATATATATAATTCTCAAGTCGGTAGCATTTGAATACACGCGACCACTGTGAAATCTACCCTCCATTTTTTCGTTGGAGGATCTCTCTTTTAACGGTGAACGTTGGATAAATGGCCATTTTGTGAAGCAATTCTTTTTGCACATAATTTGCCCAAACGTACAAGAAAATGGAATTGAAAATTAATCTCGATACGATTGTTCAAGTATTCTTTTGCGATTGTCAAAAATAAAAAGAGAGAAAAACGAAGAATATGGAAAATAAATATAATATATATATGAGTTTTATGAGAAGAATGAGAAAAAAATAGCAAGAGTGGAAATTTATCCAATGTTTACCGTGGGATACTTTGCACAGGAAAAACAATTCACAGTCGATCGAGATATCCTCTGGCATCGAGGAAGGATGTGCTACGTAAATGCCCGATAAAAGTCTCGTAGAAGAACAACGAAACACTCGTTGGTAATCGTCAGAGTGGAACAAACTGGAAGACTGGATATGAAAGAGGCTACGTTGTAGAAAAAATAAAATTTTCTAAAGTTATTATTTTCAATCAAATTTCAATCGTCGATAGAAGAGATCTTATCTTATTTCAAAGTGTTTCGAATGGAAAGGACAATATTTGTTTATAGAGTTTGCAGCCTTCTTTTATGCCCAGTTTTTTAAATGATATTTGCATGAACGTCAATTTATAGTTGTTCGAATTGAACTTCTTCAGCTCCTCACTGACGAGTTAGAACGAGATGTGGCTAACGGACAATTGTGCATATACAGGATGTCTCAATTGTATCCAATCAAATTTTGGTAACGAATAGTGTTATATAAACATAGATCGATCGAAGAGTTGTAATAACAAACAAATTTCTTATTCTATATACATGAATGTACGTAATGGCTTCGAAATCGAACGATAAATATTTCGAAATTAAACATCGATCTACTCTTGCTTTCTACCAAGTCTCGAGCAACCTATGTTTACACAATATATTCTACACAATATGCACAAATTTCGACGTGGATAAAACTGACGCACCCTGTATAATTATTCTATATTACGATTTGGAGAGATCGAGCTCTAAAAAAATACGAATACGTGCCACCAGCAAATCATCAAAGACGATAAAACCTCTTCCATTGATCCCAATACGATACATTAGATAACCAAGAAAATTCTTTTTCGTTCGATAAAATAAATTCTGTGCAAAAGTCGTCTCAAAATTTACTCGATGAAAAAAAACTTTTTCTTCGAAGTACATTTTTCGTTAATAACACTCGCATATAATAATACTTATTTCAACGAAATAAAAATAACTTTCTTTCTTTCAGCCATACACAAGGAAAAACGACAAAATCTTTTTGGTTACCCAACAATAGTACGTAGATCCAGCGAAAGAGGCGCTGTCGTCGCGGACAATTCGCCGCGCGCACGTAAGCATGGTCTCTGAACTAGTCGGTAACAGGAGCTGCCCTCCTGCAGCGTAAAAGATCGTTTTATTGTCGCCAGTAACCGCGTTAATTCGTCGCGCACGTTCGATCGGGGATAATTCGAGACGAAAAAAAAAAAAACGGGAAAGTCGGTCGCTTCCGCCTTTCTCTGGGTCGGATCAAGTTCGTGTTGGGACGTAAGCGAGGTTAGGTGGGGGGGCGAGTGTGTCGAGTGTGTGGGTGCGGTGGGCCAGGCTTGGCTCAGATGAGACGGAAGGAGCGAGGCAACGTTGATAACGCGGCGGCGGCGGCGGCGGACGAGAGCATCGTTGATCCTTGATCGATCAATCGTTCGATCGTTTCGATCCCAACGATTAATCGTCGCGCGCACACAGGCGCGTCATTTATTTTATCGTAGCGTAATGGCACCGTAAGAAGTCACCAAAAAAACGACTAGATCGTCTAACGTTCCGATAAGAAAATATATATATGTATATATATATTATGTACGTACGTGTATATGTATTTTATTACTTGTTGGAGCCGACCGTGCTACGAATAATAAGTACAAGTAGTGTATATAATACGTAATAGTAATTCTGCTTTGCTCTCTGCATGCGGAGGTAGTGTTCGATCGAAATTCTCGAAACATTCTCATTCTTATCTCGCTCAGTGTGCGTTCACTACTTTTCGCTCCTTTACAGTTATCGCTCTATCTCGTTTCCATCTTCATCGCTCGCGTACACGCTATGCCAGTATAATGTGTGTATAAGGTAACGTTAGGTGTTATGCAATTAGGTGTCTTGACTTGAGTCGCAGCATGCAATGCACGGATAAATTTCTGTATTTTATTTCGCTAAGGACTTATTACGAGTAAATCGTCAATGGCTGACGGTGCGCAGTTCCTCTCACTTCCGCCCTTCCTCCACGCGACAATTTACAATATTACAAATGGACCATCGGTTCTAGAAAGATCGTTCGATTGACCAACACGCGACGCAGGATCACGATCGTAAACGCTGTATCGTGCGACGGATCGTCGATTTTCTTTTCCTTTTGCGATCGATCGACGATCGTTTTCAACGACTGCTTAGGTAGAACTCCACTTATTACGAAATTGTTATCGTTACACGTCATTCGATCGAGACAGCTTTAAAAATCGAACCTGCTATCCAACAACACGCAAAAATTTCGAATCGATTCTCAAAATGTTCAGACAAGTGGAGTTCCAATTAAAAGCTCGGTCCCTTTTATTTCTTCTTTAAAAATCTAGAAAGGCTTGCTCGTGAAAAAGGCGAGATCCAGGATCTCATCTCTCCATTCTCTCTCGATCCAACGAGCCTCGAAGAAGCTGCGGGAGGAAAGGGATCCAGGCTCGCTTCAAAAAAACCAGGCACGCTATTACTTTTCGCATTTCCTTTTTCTTCGCTCCCGACCAAGGACTCGCGAGGATTGCTTTCCCGCGTCGGCAAAAGAAAACGGCAATTTTCGTATCGCGCGTTTCGATCGCGATTAGAAACCGAGGAAAAGGCGAGGGAACAGAAGGGAGGGAGGGGGTGGAAGAAGCGAGTCGGTGAACAACGTGCTTCCATATTTGGTAATCGGCGACGGGCCCGATCCGAGTGACAATCGGTTGCGATCACGGGTGACCCACATTAACCTCGGACCGGCTCACTGTGAAGAAACCGGGCAGCCAGCCTCCAGGAATAAACATGAAATCTCATCAAATCTGTGTCGTGATCAGACGATTTTAGACGCCGGTGTGGTTGAATATGTACGAGACGTTGCTCTCCTGGTGGACAGGGGGCCCGTGGAAGGTCCTTCTTGTCGACGAGTTGTTGTTGTTGTTGTTGTTGTTGTTCACGTAGTACGAGGACTTCCTCATGCTCGTGGACGAGGACATCATAGCCACTGTCTCGTAGTACCTGATCTTGCCGCAGCAGCGGCCGCTCTTCAGAATTGCAACGAAGCCCCGCCGATACTTTTTGTTGAAGAAGGCGTACAGGATCGGATTGATGCACGAGTTGCTCGCACCCAGCCACTGGGCGATCGGCGTCGCTATGGGGACGATCTCGTCCTCCCTTTGCTCGTCGCCCAGCTTGATCACAGTGAAGATCACGTAGAGGGGTAGCCACGAGAGGACGAACAGTATGACGACCACGACCAACATTTTCACCACCTTCACCTTCGATTTCTGCTGTATCCTCTCCATTTGGGCGTCCTTCGTGTCCGAGGGTATGTGCCTCCGCCACACTTTGATCCAGATCAGGATGTAGCAGAGGGAGATGAGGATCGTGGGAAGTACGTAGCACAACGTCAGATTGCCGATCAGGAAGAAGAGGGTTTCGTCCTTCGGGTGTGGCCACACCTCTAGGCAGAGCCTCAGGTCTGGATCGTCTTTGTAAATGGCGACCAGGTCGAAGAAGAGGAGCCACGGGGAGGTTGTTGTGAGGGCGATGAACCAGATCACCACTATTATCATTCGGGCCCTCCTCTTCGTTATCTGACACTTTAGGGGCCACCAGATTGCCAGGAACCTGTGGGTAAACGAGTTTCCCAGTTAGTCATGGTTTGGAATAAAAATTGAATTTCGTTGTTGATACGTTTTCTGAGAAGGACTCTATGTGTGTTTAATACACGTGATGCGTGATCTCTTTGGTTTATTGCTTTTTTACTTTTAGTACCCAAACGCGATGTTGCGCAATATCGTTTATTGACAATGGCGATTAATAGAGAACGATAAAGCTAGTTAATTCTCTTCGGATTCTTCGTATCGATTGGACAAGTCATATTAGTTAGAGATTGATAGGAAGCTATTAATGTTGCTTCTCAATAGCAAATTGGATTTGTTCCATTTCTCCGATAATCGAAAAACTGTCGAAAGGGTCAATCGAGTATTTTTTGAAGGAAGTTACTCATTATCATATTGTAATTAAGATAACATTTACATTTCCAAATTTGAATATTACAAAATGAGGTTAAAATCCAAAAAAGGCAACTTCTACTTTCCATACAATAAAACAAATATAATCTTTCTCTGACTAAAATCTCAAATTTTTAAAACGAGTTAATAAACTAGTTTCTCGACTAACCAGATTAAACTTTATTATACAAAGGAAATGATAAGATCAACTTTTATATACAGGGTGTCTTACTCATTTTCCCATTATTATTCACAAACAAAAATTGATTTTGGAAGTCGAATAACATATTTTCTAATCTTTTTTAAATACATTTTAATATAACTCTATATTTTCATCATAAAACCAAAAACTAAAGGCTATAGAAATACTGTGTCATTCAATTTCCATTAAAAAAATACGAATAAAAAATTTCAAAATCGTGAAAATATATGCCTTTGAAACTTTCATCGAGAAATTTCTAGAAATAATAATAAAATGACAAAAAAAAGAAAAAAAAAAAGGATGATAATTTCACACGATTGTAAAAACGATTGATCTTACGACGCTGAGATATTACACCCACGCTGAGAATTACGGCACAAAGCGTAACCGTTCATTTTTTATGCCTGCCTTAATGTAAATCTATATATATATATATTCTATTCGCGATTTCGAAATCGACGCTCGACTCGGTTACGCTTCGACGATCACGAGCGGTGCGTAAGAATGGATACGTAATGGCAAAGCGCCTTTTATACGACGCAATGGCGATCCAACGTTCCCGTATCGGGGCCTGCGAAACGAGCCTTACCCAGATAAGGTGCCGTTCCGCGAGAATTTATTAAGCAACCGTGATCGAACTTTTGCGGCTCGCGATAAGGAATTTCACCCCGGAAATTACGTCGTCGAGGCGCCTCTTCCGCCCTTTATCGCTGTGCCGTAACATCAACATTTCGGTATGAGAATACAAATCTGTTCGAGAGTGAAATTATCGAGAGCGAAAATTTATGAAAAATATCCTTATGAGATATCCATTCCGTTTCACAGTAACATTTGATGGATATATCTTTAAAGTAATTTAATAATTTACAATAATTACATAAAATTGATTGATTTGGAGCAAATATATTTGATACTGTTCCATATCAATAATATAATCATGTTACGGTGTTAATAATTTTCAATTGAAAACAAAACGATTGAATTACGAGACAAGATATTTCTAGTTCATTGGAAATTCGAAAAAAATGATGGATAATTCTTTTGGAATATATTTTCGAGTTTTCCATTCTCTCGTTCATCCATCAAACATCCACGAAACACTCATTACCAATCATCCCAAGACCCTCCAAAATTCCACCCCAGTTTCTCTCGCGAATATATATATACACTGTTTCCTTTCACAGCAAAGGAATCCACCAGAGTGATCAAAGAAACTCTCGCAAGACTCTTCCTCGTCCCTTAATTGAACGGTGCTCGCTCATCCTTGCACACCTCTGTCCAACTCCAATCTGACCCGATCCAGAAACGTCTCGAGTCCATTAACGGAATATGGGTTGGAACAGAGGATCTCGCCTTTTAATCAGAGAGCTTCTCGCGTCCTTCGACTCGCGTCCCTCGCTGTCCACGTTCAAGAGTCCTTCCATAAATCAGCGACTACCCGATACCGATCTACCAACCAACCATCGCCACTTCCGAGTCGCGCGTGTCTCTCGTATTTATAATTAGCGATGGAGTTGAACGCGTCGCGAATGAACAACAGATTAAGATTCTGTTTTCTTGGAAAAGTGTAGCGTAGTCGAGAATCGACAAATGCATTCGTAGAATTCGAAGGAAAAGTTTGAATTTCTTTTCTAGGGACGAATTAATTCCGTCACTCGCTGAATTTTCAAATTTCGTGTTCCATTTCGAAGGAAAAGTTTGAAGAAAAATTTTTGGAAAATTTGAAAATTTTCTCCAAGTCTTTGGCTAAAGAATTTCTTTTCTAAGAACGAATTAATTCACTCGTCGAATTTTTAAATTTCGTGTTCCATTTCGAAGGAAAAGTTTGAAGAAGAATTTTTGAAAAATTTGAAAATTTTCTCCAAGTTTTTGGCTAAAGAATTTCTTTTCAAGGAACGAATTAATTCCATCACTCGCCGAATTTTCAAATTTCGAAGGAAATGTTTGAAGAAAAATTTTTGGAAAATTTGAAAATTTTCTCCAAATTTTTGGCTAAAGAATTTCTTTTCTAGGAATGAATTAATTCCATCACTCGCTGAATTTTCAAATTTCGTGTTCCATTTCGAAGGAAAAATTTGAAGAAGAATTTTTGGAAAATTTGAAAATTTTCTTCAAGTTTTTGGTTAAAGAATTTCTTTTCTAAGAACGAATTAATTCACTCGCCGAATTTTTAAATTTCGTGTTCCATTTTGAAGGAAAAGTTTGAAGAAGAATTTTTGGAAAATTTGAAAATTTTCTCCAAGTTTTTGGCTAAAGAATTTTTCTAGGAACGAATTAATTCCGTCACTCGTCGAATTTTCAAATTTCGTGTTCCACGAAAATACTAAGAGAGATCTTATATTTTTTACGTTAAGTTAAAGTTTAATTTTTTAATTTTTAAATTTTGAAAACTTAGATTTTAGAAAGAAAGTTTTACAGTTAAAAATTTATTTCAATTCCAAATACAAATACACAAATAATTTTTCTCTATTTGATTTGTTCCATTGTTTATCGAGCTCGATGCCATCGCTATTTATTTATGCAAAAGTTGTTATGCCTATTGCCGTTATGTTGCACCGAGGAGAAGGACGAAAGAGAAGAAAAAAAAAAATCGTTCGATTCGCGGATACGGGATTATCGGGAACGATCAAGGCCTCAGGGAGCCGGGGTGGGGGTGAACAATGAAGATGACACAGCTTTCGGCACGTGTATATAAAGAGTTCGATTTCCGTAGAGCCAACAGCAGTATCGATCCGTGTCCATTTCGTGTTTGCGAACGGGAAAGCCGATAAAACGTTTAACATGTTCAAACTGGCAAGTATATCCATCATATATCCTATACACGATTACTTAGTAAGCGTACTAAGGGGGGATGGGGGGTGAGAGCACGAGACATTCGCTCGAGGATGCTTGATCTTGTGATTTTTGTTGTGGAATATCGAAGGATAGATAGGTTGAACGAAGAAATTGAATTATTGTAATTTTTAAAAAATTTTTAAGAGAAATTATTTTCATTTATCGATTATTAAAATGTTATTCGTTGATAAGATAGAATTTGCAATTATTTTTATATATATGTACAAGATGCTTCTGTTTTGATGATTTAAAAAAATTAATCAAACAGTTTTATATTAGATGTAAGAGAACTGTGAATTCATTTGTATAATGCAGTTATGTAAAATGTATCTATTATCATTCTTGGATATTGACATTCATTTTATGGAAAATTATGGTAATTTTGTTTTTCAGTGGTATAAGAAACAAGATTACCAACACTTCATGAATGTTCTATATCGATGCTCTAGTTATTATTTTATTTTTTTTAGTTTACAAATGAAGGTAAATTCTGATGAACAGAATATTCTATAGGTCAAAATTCTTATCTAATTCTTTTTTTATAAAAGAACTAATTAATTAATCTATATATGTATATATATTCACGAAGATGAATATATATTTTAATTTTTATTTAATTTCAAACGTGTTATTAATATTTGAAATAGTTTTGCCTTAATTTCGAAAAATTTCTCGAAAGACAAAATTATATAAGAAAATTATATATTATGAGAAAATTATAACGAACGAAGTATATAGATACAAGTGATGAAGAAGAAGATACGAGGAAGCAAGTGAAAGTGGATCGTTTAATGTCAGACATGATGTCGATCAATATAGAAACACTTGACATACATTTTTACAAATTTAATAAATATTTATATACGCTTAATTGAAACTATAATAATTGATTCGACATCCTCGAAATAATTTTCAATTTTCAAAAGTTTTTCTCAAGTTTTTTTTAAACGAGATAAAATCTTTTCCCTGTCAAAATGGAAGCCCAATTAAATTATATCGTGAGAACATTTCATTTCCAATTTTCACAATTAGCAGGTAATTAGATTTGCATAGAATTTGAATTGCGATTGACGCGGAATCGTTTTCAACGATCGGTTGCATTGGAAAGCAAACAACTGTGCTCGATATTCCGTATGTGTGGATAGAATAATTAATGAGATATGTAACTGGATATAATCACGTTAAAGTATAATCGTGTTACGTTCTATTACCTTCGTGAGAAGTTTTATGCTTGAAATTGGTATATAATTTGAAAGAATCTGAAAATCTATGAAGTATTTTTTTTTTAAAAAGATGTAGAATATTTCTTGCTATATTTTTTTAATTTTTTCAGCAAATAATTTGAATCATTTCATCAATCTTAATATATTATACTTGTTTAGAATTATAAGTAAGTTACTTCTATCAATATTTTTTTCTGAAATTAATTATTCAGGTTTATTTATCATTTGTTAATTAGAAACTTTTAAACTGTACCTTTCCAATGATATATGGTCAAAATCTTCAAATTTAGCAAATTATCTGTCCAAATAATTTCTCCAATATAATTAATATAGCATTTATCTTCATAAATAAATTTAATCTTTTGAATAAATTAGTCAATTATTGGTATTTTTACCTCTGCAAACGAGTCCAATAATTTATCTTTCTCATAAAATAAAGTTATTTACGTACTTCGTTTGTGCTTCACACTTTCATTGAATGGTAAACATTAGGAATGCAAATAGCAGTTCATTTAACGCAACTACTTCTACAAGTCTCCCACTAACCTGACCATTATTAATGGAATAATCAATAACTAGGTATCAATCGTATAACGATGCTTGAATAGCTAACTTTGAACAAACTGGAAACTTTATTAGAGACACAAAGTACGTTTACTGTTACGCGTCATCGATTCCTGATATGTACGTATTTAAATGGTAAAATACATAATTTCTTTTTCCCTTTTTTCAAGTCCAATCTATTACAAGATATTGATGTTTTAGGACATCAAAAAAACTGGAAACTTCTTCTCATTTTTAATAATCATAAATAATTAAATATTTCAGAATTATTCAGTTTAAAGTATAAACGCTGAAAAAGAACCAAGAATCATGGATACAAAGAAATATCAAAAATTTTTTCCAAACACCATCACAATTTTACTAACAACCATACAATCAACGTATCTACTCGACAGATTCTCTTGCTGGCAATGGCCATCGTGGCAGTACACGCCGTACCAGCACCAGTGCCGCCTATATTAGCACCCCCATTGGTCTATCCTCCAGCCTACTTCAAGGTGCTACCTCTGCACACCGCGACTCTGCCTCTCTCCTACCCTGCTCACGGCTACAAATGGTACTACCCAGGCTCCATTTACCTCCATTGATCGGCCATCATTTAGGACCAAGGACCACAAACTTCCAAACTTTTTCTTCTTCTTCTTCTTCTACATATAGGGCGACAAGAGCGGGATGAAGTAATTTTGTACAGACTCGAAGAATAAACGTTCAAAATGGAACAAAACTATTGTGCTCGAACCAATTTTTCGAATTGCCATTTCTCGTCGCCTTTTATACCGGCAATAAAATCCTCGAGGCGAGGCGAACGTTGTGCGTGCACGATTCGACCCTCTTCGTCTTGAGAATTTTCTGACAACAATTTCCGGGAAGGGTGGTCGTAAAACAGGATACTCGAAGGCCAAGATTCGGTGGAGACATTCGGTGGAAGCTGGTTACGCTCATCTGCATGTAACGAGGGTGTTTTTTTTCGTGTAGCCTTCATCCCTCGTGGGGTGAACGCTCGCATACTTTTTTACTCTGATTGCTTTTGTTTAATTGTTTAATCCTGGCAATTCGAGTTTCGTTCGAGAAGGAGGGAGAAGCCTTCGAGAAAGGTTTTTCTTAAAAAAGGTTAGGTTAAGATTCGCTATCATCTTCTAAAGTTAAAACTTATAGTTAGTGAGCAAGAAAGAGGAAGAAATCGAATTTCAGCGAATTTCGTTTACCATTTTCCTCTTCACATTCTGAACTTCGTTGAAAACTCTACCTCGAGAGATCAAGGATTTCTATGAGGGGTTTGACACAAGAAGAAGCTCCGTCTTCGGTATTTTTTTAAATAAAATTTTATTAAAATTCCATATGACCAAAGGGGGGTTGGGGGAGGGAGTCCTGGATGATTGATGCGGTAATGATCGAGATGCGGAATTTGCCCGAAGAGCTTAGACCAATGATGATGCCAAGAAGATGCCGCCGGAAGGGAAGGAGGCCGGCCGGTTCACGCCGCCATTTTCGATTCTCCAGCCCGCGGATGCGCGAGAAAAAGGAAGAAGAAGAACCGGGCGCTTCTTCTAATCCGGGATTAGCGAAGATCAACCTCCAAGTTCTGTTCTTCGTTCTCCTCGTTCTTCCCTAGCTAGTTCCATCCTCGAGCAGCTCAACCGATCGATCTTCCCTTCCCTTCGCTTTTCCATTTCCAATTTATCATCCTTCCTTTTTTTTTTCTTCTCTTTTCTCCATATATATATGTACACGTACATATATATATATATATTTTTTTTTTTGGAGGGGACGATTTACAAGGAGATTTAGAGGTTTTGGGGGAGAGGGCGGGGCAGGAGAGGAGCCTGCAATGCTCCGCTCGTGCGCGCGTGTGTATTATGTCTACTTGTCTTCCAGGGAGGGTGAGGTGGGGGGCTGTCTCGTCGTGACTTGGTGGTTGGTAGTGACGTTAACAACGTCTAATGCAACGGGCCATGGCCGGCAAGGAGGGGCAGGGGGGCGGCGGTCAGCACGGATTTGGTGACGATGGGCGCGGTGCGGATGACGGGTGCCACGGGCTGGGCGATCACGTGGGCGGCGGCCAGAGGCGCAGCGTGGCTGAGAACCAGGGGAGCGGTGATCGGCCCAACTGCATGGTCGGCGATAATACCGGTCAGACCGCCGGGAGCGGCGGTGGCGACAGCCAGGATGGCGGCGAGAACAGCCTGCGGGAAAAACACCTCTTACATTCGCTCTTCCCTCATCGATCCTTTCATAGATCGAACTCTTCTCTCCTCCGATCTAAACCGATTGTCAATTAACGTCTATTCTTGTTCTCGATATTTTTTTAAAAAGTTCTTCCACTTTGTCGATTAAAAGTTCAGAGTATATTTCGAATTTCTTCGATCCTGGATCGTCTAATTCGAGTCGAGCGAGACAATGTCGATCCATATAGTCTTCTTATCTTCTTTGCTAAGCTAATCGTCGTGGAAAACGGTTAGGGGGATAGCGTCTCTGTCCACGCCGTCTCGCGAGATTTTCCCACGGAGGAGGAGGCGTTAATCTCTTACTGAGATTAGGAAGGAAACGTCTGATCGCGTTTAATGCGGATTCGTATTCGTTTACCTTGGAAGGAGTCAGCTTGGGGGCTCCGTTCGAGGATATACTTTGAGCAATGCTCTTAGAATGCGGATATTTGATACGCTTTTAACGGACGGTGTTTTGAGAGTAAGGCGTTACTTTACTTGCAAATCCACCTCTTTTTGTAAAAGAGAAGACGGTGTTTTCTTTTTCAGGATACGAGAAAAGCGAATTCAATTTTCGAGAACAATTCTCCAATTATCCGCAATTATATATTTACAATCAACAAATAATAATATTAATTAAAATTCTAACTAAATCAAAGAGATATTTCGAAATCAAAGAACTTTTCTCTAACTTCGTCGTGGAAACGATTCAAAAAAAAAAAATAAAAAAAAGAAAAAAATGGAAACAACTCAATCCGAGGCGCGTGACGTGTAAAGCAAGTGTCGCGAGAGAGCGAGATCGGCACGCGACCGAGGCGAGCACGCGAGATGGAGGAGGGGGGAGAGGGGGAGGCGAGTGCCCGACATTCCATTTTTGCTTTTCGAGCGGAGTTGGTTGGCTAACACAATATGCATGCTCGAGTGATTTCTCGCTCGCCGATTTTTGTGACCAGAAAACGGAAACTTCGATGTGTTCCGTTGGAAAGGAACGCTCGTGGAAAGGTCAGGGCTCGATCAATGGGACTGGAGGAGGCCGATCCTTTTATATATCGATCAATGAAGAGCGGAGTGAATGGAAAGAATTTTGCTCGAGCCGATCGATCCTTCGTGATTGCGAAACGAGGTTCATCACATGCAAATTGAAAAAAATGATTCATCAGAGAGGGAGAAATTTCAACGCGTGATTGGAAAAGTAGTGTGAACGAGTGTTCCTTTGTAATTGAAAATTGTAATTACGCGTTTATTTATCTTTTATTCGGGAAATATTCTAATTTACGAAGGAAAGATTGGATGAGTCAGAATTCTTCTAATTTTATGAAAAGGAACTTATTGCATTTATAGATTTGATTAAATTGATGAAAATAAAGGTTTGAAGGTAATTTAAATTCAAAGCTAAATTCGAGAATACTTTCGAATATACCAACTCACTTGTTGAAATTTTAATTCAATTCGAGTTAACATCCCGAGAAACGATTATTCGATTTATCCCTTATCAAAGAAACAAGAAAGTACGTTGAATAAATAATTTAAAAAACAGTCCACGTAACGAAAAAATCGTGTCCAAGCTCAGTAAAATCGTCTCAAAGGAGAAGCTTCCCTTTTACTTAAGGGAAAATAAGATAATTATAAAATAAAATTATAAAAATTCGTCTTACCAACTTGAACATGTTGATTGGGTTGGGAGTGAGTAGCTCGTTTACTTCTCGAAAGTAGATAAGCTTATGCTGGATGTACCGGGCGACGGCCCTTTTATACAAAAGCCGATTTTAAAAAATCGCTATAAATTTGATCACGTGGCCCGCCGTTCGACAGTCTGACGTTATGTGGCGGCCTGTTGAGTCAGCCGGGTCCGAACGGGCGGAGTGGGGTGGCGTTCGGCCAATCGGGCCGCGTTATCGGCTCTAAACGGCAACGCGCCGGCCAATCGGACGCTTTCAACCCCTCGCGATCGGTTGCAGGGAATTAGGTTAAGACAGTTTGCACTTGGAAACGGCTCGA